CCTCCTCTCTACTGTGTGTGTGTGTGTGTGTGTGTGTGTGTGTGTGTGTGTGTGAGAGAGAGAGAGAGAGAGAGAGACTGACTCTTGGACACCAGAGTTCTTTTAAAGAAATCTCGTACCTACTGTTGTCTGCTTTGGCATTAGGACTTTAACCCCAACCCCTCAGCTACGAGACAAACACATCTCTCCGGACAGAGCCACAGAAGGGGACAGGGAAGATCAGGGATGGGGGACTTGGATGCCAGGAGGGCAGATGGGCCAAGAAGAGATTCTCCCCCTTATAAAGGGATCCCCAGAAGGTCAGAGAACTACAATCTAAAATGCCCAACGAGGCCTAGTGGTTAAATACTCATTTAAATCCAGATAGCCCCTGATTTTCTAACCCATGTTATCTGACATTTAGATCTGTCCCATATTAGATATTAATACCGACACCAGCATTCCTATCTACAACCACCGCCTTGTCCCATTTATAAAGGCTGCAGATGTGTCTGCCTAGCCCTTGCTTAATCACCAGGAACTGCCTCTTCTTCCAAGGAGGAGTCTGTATGTGGCAACCACAGCACTGGGACCATGCCCCTGTTCGCACGGATCCATTTAGGATGTGACACAAGCACTGAAGAACCCCAGTGCGCTCTAAAATTCACTTCCCATGGAGCCCTCCTCGCTCTTAAACTCAGAGCAGCTGATGGATTTTCGCTTAGATTCTATTCAATTCACTGCATTTGTCTAGCTCAAAAACACACTACCCCGGACCACAATGAAATACGGTGCAGGGGCAGGGTAAGAAGGGTCAGTCAGCGCGTCTGGGAACCAACAATCATATGGACTCACAACACAGACAACGATCACAACTTCCTCATGCCCCACAGTGTACTCAATTATTTGTCCCTTCATTAGGGCCGATTTTCTGAACGGATTTGTGCTATTGCAGGGTCCCTCTGTATGGATCCGACTGCAGAATTGAGACATATGCTTGTAAAATAAACTATTTTGAAACTGAAATCTACACCAAAGTGGTACAGTCACTTGGTCTTTAACAGAAGGTGAAAATCGGGTATCTGATTGGAGAACACACCTTCTGCCCTGCCGAGGGGATGTTTCCACTAACAGGTTTGCTATCTCTCTCTAACCACAGCACTATTCCCGAATTGACACTCCTTTGGAGAAACCCAGCGTTTATGAGAGAGACGAAAATGGGAGTGACATTTTCAGAGCCACTCGAGTTCCCTGAGCTTTCACCGTTCTTTCTAATCTGGGCTGGGAAGACAACTGCGCTAAAGCCAGGTATTTCTCCTTGTTACAAAGACTAGTTTTAAGTTTGGCCATTGTCTCCTTTTGTGTCGTGGGGTGTGTCTACTGGGGGGCCGAGGCACCGAGCCTGGGTCAATTGACTCTGGCTTGAGGGGCTAGAAATGGCAGCATAGACATTCTTGATACAAGAATCTGCAGGCTGAGCGGTAGCTAGAACAAGTTAAAACCTCGGCAGACCAAACACATCATCCCAGGGGACTGGATGGGATCCACGTGCACGTCTACATCACTCATCCCACGCTGGAAAGGAGGAGCCCTTCCTCTACGTGGTATTTGTGCGCATGACATTCAGTTAGAGGAGCTGAATGACCCCTCGCCTGCCCCAGTTTAACTCCGTCCATGTAAACGGCTGCAAAGGCCTTTCTACCATCTGATGCGACTGGGAGGATTTCAGCACGGTGCAGCGCCTGGGCTGGACCTTGCAGCTCCCCGTCCATAAAGGCCAGCCAGCTGTCCTGAGATCTTGCTATGAGTCCGTCAAGATGAAATCAAAGCCATGTTCCATGGAAGGAAATCTGCAGCACTGGCCGGGGGGAGCGACACGTGCACACGCACAAACACATGCCCAGAGCCACGGGGCAGCTTTCCTGTGTGTCCCAGCAGAGAGTAAGCAATCTCGCCTGCACTCCTGAAGAGGCTTCCTGCAGGCCTGAGCCAGGCACCCGCTCAGCAGTAGCAGGGTGGGGGACGGATGCTGACAGAAGATGCTGCTAACTTCCCAGAGAAGGAAACGTGGACTCTCGCTCTCTCCTCTGGACAAACTCTGCAGAGAGGGGCACTTAACCCAGACGTGCCACCGAGCAAGTGCATCTTTCTGGGCCAGGAAATCTATTCCTGGTTTGGGCTGGGGTAGGCACGTTCCTGCAAATCACTAGAGCTTTGCTGGGATGAGCCTTGGCTATTGGTTTAGCTTGAGAGCATCCTTCAGACGGTGGCTCACTTACAGGGAGATGCTCCATCTCCTACCTTGCTCTGATTAACATTCAGCAAATACGAGGGGCTCCTACGAGCGCTGGCAGAGGTGCGTGGGAGCTCCAGGAAAAAGGCAGCCATTGCCAGTGGTTGTGGTTTGCCACAGGAGAGCTGCAAATCTGGATACCACCTTGGGATTTTGGCTCCTCTTATAGGAAAGAGCTGACGACAGAAGGGAGAGCCAACTCTTCTGCACCTCGCTTCTCCGGGTCACGTCACCCAAAATACACAGCGCCAGTCAGAGCATAAGAGAATTGACAGGCCTGTACATGTGACAGTCGGATAGAGACTGCCGCTCCCACATTGTAATATCAGCCCTGCCTGGCCAGCTAAGGGTTGGAGGATGGGGGAGGTTCCTGAATGTGGAAGTGGAGGAAAACAAAATGCTCTTGAACAAATGGGCAAGTGAAAACCCTGGCACTGTCTGGGAGGTGCTCAAATCTTCTGGCCGCCTACCTGCAGGATGGAGCCTGTGCAGGACAAAAGGGTCTGCAGCCAGACGCAGACCAGCAGCAATACCCATCCCACCTTTGATTTACAAAATGAACAACATAAAAGCAGTCCCCTGTGAACTGCCCGTGGCCTCACATTAAAGCCCACGTCAAACACATTGGGGTCTATTCTCACTGCACGCACAACCCCTTTTTAATGATAATGCTCAGCACTTCCGTAGCTGGGACATTAACTGGCTAATTCTAACAACACCCCCAGGAAGCAGGATAAATATCATCAGCCCCTTTTTACAGAGGGGGAAAGACCTACCCAAGGTCACTCAGGGCTTCTGTGGGTCAGAATTGAACTCAGAACATCTAGACTCATCCCCCAGGTCTCAGTCACTCCAGTGGTGAGGACGATTCAAGATCCAAACCAAACGGATAGATTCCCGGATACGAAGGTGGCGTGGGAGAGCAGGAAAGAATACAATCTATCCTATCTCACGGCATCAAAGCCCCCCAAGGATACTCCCTCGCCACTCGTGTTTTACAGCCGTTGTGTAGTTTGCATATCTGATTGAATGTTTTTTACACGCAGAAACAGCCAAGTCATTATGGACACTATGCCTGTCTCGCCATCAAAGCCAGAGCCAAACGTCCATGTGGTGGCTAGCTACGAGTGAGAAAACAGAGAGAACGTTTACAATGCCACCTGCCCACAATTCTGTATTTGGGAACCAAATTGGCACATCAAGCCAAACTGAATTTTAATTGGCCCTTGCTAACTGGGGTCATCTGAGGCCTAAAATTAGCCCCTCCCCATTTCTTCCAAGTAAGATTAATTAACTCTGGTGTTCTGTAGCAATTAAAATATTGGTTGCCAGACACCATCAGTTGGTCCTCGTCAGTCCAAGAGACGTGCCGGTATAAGAGAGAAGCAAACACGTTAGCACAAAGAAGACGTGGCTTTGGGAGAGTCATTTCAGATCCATCCAAGGGTGACCCCCCCACAAACCAAAATCCACCTCGGACAATTGAAATGACCAAACGATGGATTCTGGAAATTGCAAACATCCATTTGTACCAATTCAAGACCATGTAGCCAGAGCTCCCTGGATGCTTTGGAAAGGATTCTGGGTTTTAAGGCTAAATTTTTCCAAGTGATCATTACCCAAACTCTTAGAGATTCACATCAGTGACTGTGCAATGAAGGGCCAGACAACAGTGATGGAACGTGACCCGTGGGGGTAAAAAGGACTCTGGCCTGTTTCTTTGATTAATCTCTCAGGGACAATACCGACGCGATGGACTTTTTGTGGGTTACCGGACGCTCTGCCACCAGAGGATCCTGGCTCAAATCACACCTAAAAGACATTTGTGGAATCCCAGAACAGTTGATATTTTTGGCAGGTAATAACACCAGCCAGGTTTCTACTCAAAACTAAACTGGTACAAGCAGCTTAGTGCTGTCTTACGCTCCATTATCCCAGCCCGCTTTCAGTCTGATTTCTCCATTACTTTTCACCTCCTTGGAGCCCAGAGCCTGAAGGCAGGAGACACAGGTTATCCTGTGCTGGGGGGTGGGATCTCTAGACAAATAGCAGAACACACCGCTGACAAGGTCCCTTCGGAGGCAATGTTACAGCCAACTACTTCATCACGACCTCCAGCAATCTCTGCACCAACTCCCCAACCCATTGTTCCAATGCCACACGAAACCTCTTTTTGGACACTCCCCAATCTCATTTTCTGTGCACCCCAGGGAACAATTCTCCCTTTGCCAGGTCGATGCGTAAACACCCCCCAGACTGTGGTGTTCCTCTGCGTCCCTACTTGGCTGGAAAGGGGTCTTGTTCTCGGCACCATTTACAACGGGGAGGAGTCGGGGTTTACTGTCCGTCGCTCCAGCCTTCACCACTTGAAAAAGACGAGCAACGCCAAGGCCGTGTAGCCCAAGACCAGGAAGAGGACCTTCAGCAGGCGATCATTCTTATCTTCCAGTTCCTTTGCCAGGATCTCAAAGAAGGTGACGAACAAGAAAGTTCCCGCAGCAATGCCCTGTAAGAGCACAGAAGCCACGCTGCTGGCCACGTTCTGGGCACTCTCGATGCCCATGCCGATCCCAATGCCCAAAGGAATCATCAAACTCACCGTAAGTGCTAGCTTGGCAGCGTCCTTCAGTGTTAATGAGATCTTAGCCATGCTGATGCCCAGTGCCACAGCCACCAGCGTCTCGTGGATGGCCACGCCCAAGAACAGACTCATGACTTTGTTTCCTTCCTCCTGGAGGCCCAGGGCCAGGCCCTCAAAGATGGAGTGGGCAGACAAGGCAAACACCAGGCTGAAGAGCCGCAAGGGGCTGGATTGGGAAAGTTCCTGGACGTTCAAGCCATGGCTGTGGGAGTGGTGGCTGTGCTCATGGTAAAGCGTGCGCCCTCTGGAAGATGCTATGAAGGGGCTCTCATATTCTGAGTCACTCCCGACGTCTGAGCCGGCGTTGAAGGTCTCCAAGTCGATGAAGGAAGGCTTCTCCTTCCGAAAGGTCAGGATGAGCTGCTCCACAAAGACAGTCAGAAAGAAGCCCAGCAGCATGATGGTCTCGGCCAGGGGGTAGTCTGTGGTCACCTTCCCAAGCTTGAGAACTTCTTGAAGCTGGAACAAAGGAAAAGGAATCTGCAGTGAAACTGGCTGCGTCGTTCACCATTAAAAATGACATGGGGGACTCCTCCCTAAACTTGAAAAGTTTTCAATGTAAAGGCCGGAACCACAGCAGGTTCCCAACCACGGGCATTCGCTAGGGTACATCAGGCTTGCGTTACTGGGTCTCTAGGATCCTCCACCTTGCTTTAAGGATCAACCTCTTCCTGGGGTTCCCATGGCTTCTGTTTAATGGTGTGCACTTTAATATGCAATGACGCTGGGACGGCCTAGTCTCAGAAGGATGAGTCTGGGGTTAAGGGCAGCCCATGCATGTGCCTTTGTAGGACTGGGATTAGGAGAAGCCCCTATGTGGAGATGTTGGGCACTAGCTGGTTTAGTCTGATAACGTGGTAGCTTCCTGAACACACTGGGAAACCCATAGCACCATTATCATATCGGACAACATCTTCAAAGCAATATCATCTGAAAGCAGAGACTCTCCCAAATCCCCGCATCAGAACAAAACGGAGTCATTACAGCTGCAAAACAAAACCCCACCGAGTTTGCCCACAGCTACCTTTTCTCGTACGGCGGGGAGCAAGGCGTTGAAGCAGGTGGCCAGGAAGACCCCTCCTCCGAAGGAATTGCAGAGGGCAATGACCTTCCTGGAGCGATGAGCTTTCTCATAATCCGCTTCTATTATCTTGACGGGCAGGAGGGACCCAAGCAGCATGAGGAAAAAGACCCCCAGCAGACACAGAACTTTGACTGCTTTGATATTCATCTTGTCTCCCTGGAGAATGTCCCCTGCCAGGGCCTCTGTGAAAAGTGAGTTTGCTGGGGTCCTTCAGATAGTTACTGTAATTGTTACATCAGCATTTAAACAGCAAAAACAAGTGTCCAGCGAATCATGCTTCTGAGCTCGCTAGCTGTGGAAAGGAGCAAGACAAATGATATTTTCCTCTGTAAATAAATAGTTCTACTATCTAACAGAGCGCCTGTCATCCCAAACTTGCATTTCAGTCTATTTACGTCCCTCACCACTAAAATGCAGCCATCTCTAGAGCGGAGGGAACCAAACAGCTAGCACGCACAAATGGGGATAAGGAGGTAAGCAGAGAAAAGGGAAATTTTCAAAGTTAGGACACAAGGCAAACTCGTAATCCTGTAAAAAGCACCACCGGATCTTTCATACTGAATAGAGACAGCCTCCGTTTTTAAGGCACCATCAGAGACCCAGGCACAGTAAAACGCAGAGAATGCAGGTACCAATCCTGCAATTGGATCCACATGGGCAGAACTTTGCACCCACCAAAATCCAACTGCAGGATAAGGGCTTTAATTCAAGCCACCTTGGAAGAATATTACTTCACCTAGGGTATGTTGTTGAAATTCCACTTTTACCAATGATGTGGTTTTCTTTTTAAATTTTACTTAGCTGGGTCAGTTTCAGTTTCTTATGCCCGGATTGCAATGTAGCTATGGTTGGGCTGAAAATCCTGCTGCAATGTTTGGGCTGCCAATTCTGCAGGTGAATGGCTGAATTATTTTAAAAGCCTGTTTTAAATTAAATGACTAAACAATCCTGAAATCATGTATATTATTAGGGTTTGAAATAGGATTATTTTTGTTTAGCAAAAACCTAAATCATCTGTAGTATGCCGCTTTAAAGGGAAGCCCTAGGCAGAAATTCAGTGTTTATTCTTTATTTTCTCATACAGAACAACAACAGAGTGGGTGAAAGAACGAACAGATGGTAGCTTCGCAGAAGACAAAGATGTAAAACTCAAGCTCCCTGGATCATTATAAACAATTTACTCTGAAACATAAAAGTTTTCCCCCCCACATGGCATATGCAACCAGGATGCAATTTGTATCCCACAAAGCACTTTAAAAGAAGAAATGGGTTAAATTAAGATTAAACATTTTTTAAAGGTATATCATCAATGATGTTTCCCTTGAGATCTAGAAATTAGGAAGAAGCACAGCTAAGTTTCTAGCCTACTTCCCTTAGCTATTACACTGAACTAAGTTACAAAGTCAAATCAACGGCATGTTGAGAGGTTCTTACTGCCGTGACTCAAAGGTAAAGAGTTCCTTACGGCCGGGAGCACTCAGCAATCTGAACCACAATATATTTCACTCTAATGAACAAAGAGAAAATGTTCATAGCCATCCCAATGCTCAAACCAATGATGGACAAGGTAGATAATTGGATACCTGGTTACTGGACCAGCAAATGAGATTGAAAACAAAAAACCTTGGGGCTACAGATTTCCTTGGTCTGGGTTATTCTACACTTTTGTTTATTTAAAAAAAAATTAAATGGCTGTGGGTCTGGTAAAAGGATTTAGGGCCTTTCATCTGTAGGTTAACAGTTCCAATTCAACCCCAAGCCAGTAGTGAATTAAAGGGGTTACTGTCTGATGGCTGTCTGGTGGTGTGTGTGAAGTGAGTTGCTGGATCTCAGTCAAGTTTTTGGTGGAGAGGCATGCCCAATCATGAAAAAATACCTTTTCCAACAAGTGGGCCAACCGGTTCCATTTTCAAACTTGGCAGAGAAGCCAAAGAGTGAACAAATTCAGAGAGAGAACTCCTCTATCATGTTTCCAAGGTGGTCTGTCCAGGTCAGGGCTTAGGTACATTGCCAGTAAAGTTGACCTGCCACTACCTTCACTGTACCTGATCTGTAGCTAGAGAGAACTTCATTCTCCAGAGTTGTCAATCCTGAAGAAAGTATCTTCCCCAATGCATGTGTATTAAAACATATGTTTGTCTAACTAAAGGTAACATATTCAACATTAGCTGTCTTGCCTATACTGAATTAGCAATCAAAGTCCACAGAGGATTCTGAATATACTCTGATTGGAAACACTCTTAGTTTCTTTGGAGCAACGCACAATCTTTTAAGAACAGTGTATCACTCCTCTGCAGAATGTTTTCCTTTCTGAGCTGCATGGTTCTAATAGCAGAGGGGAATTACCATTTTGTAGATAATTTCTCCCAGAACAAAATTGTTGCATTATAACATTGTACCAGACCCAAAGAGTGTTTTAATGCCCCCTCTCTCCCCCTGAAAAGTCAGACGAAAACTGGACTGGCGACTTGAAAAAAGGGACAGTGACAAATCAAGTTTGCCATTTGTAAATGCTTTGATCTCCAGGAGAAAGTCGATATGATGTTCTGCTCATGCTATGTTGTCATGCAAACAAGACCATGCTGGGATCCCTGAAAATATTTGGGAAGGTTGTTAATGCCTGTAACTCATATGACAGCCCTATCAAACTGGGCTGGGCACGGCAAATTTAGATTGAACAGTCTTCTGACAGAGGATGGTCGCTCCTGCGTTCCTAGGGCATCAAAAATGCTGACCCAAGACATGAGGGTTGGAACCCAAACTGCATTTTCTAGCTGCTGCTGCTAGTCCCTCATTTGGGGGGCTACTCTCCCCCTAGCTTTGCTGCCTCCTCAGAGCGTAGTGCTGTTGGGTCACTACACCATCACACTGCCCCCAAAGTATGGCCGGACATCTTAAAGCCCTGCCAGTCTTGGGATGTGGGGGGACATCTCACCCACCTCGCAGAGCTGGGCCGTAGCAGGATAAAGTCGCCTCGTTTTGCATCCAGGCGGTGGCACGACCCCTGTCCCCATCCCCTCAAACTAGCCCCTTGGTCCCTGGGGCCAGGCTCACCCAGCACCAGGACTACGTGGCCACCTGCCCCAGCGGCCCCTTGGCCACCCCCAGCTCCTTGTCTCTGACTCCCAGGAGGCCCAGGGCTCCTAGACCCTCTAATGACCCGTCCCCAGGCTTCCACCCAGGGCCTGGATCTCTCATGCCAGGGCCCCCCCCGCCCCCAATTTCCCCCTCCCCCTCTGTCCTCACCTGACCTCCCTTCTAAATCCCCCTCCCCCACCTGTCTGCCCCCCACCATGTCCCACCCCCCAGGTGCCCCCACTGCCCCCCCCCCAAACAGGGCCTTGTCCCCCAGCGCGCCCGGGTTCCGGGACGGTCCCTCCTCACTTACCTTCGGGATCTTTGGCCGGCTCCACGCCCAGGCAACCCCCAACACTGAGGTCCCACCCTTTCCGGAGACGTCCACCTGTGATTGGCTGCTGGGGACGCCAGGCGAGAAACCGCCATTTCTCACTGGCTGGAAGGAACGCCAATCAGCGTCGCTGGCCTCGCCTACCCATGAAGCCAGGACAATGCCCCCCGGGCTCCGGGGTGTGTCGCTGATAAGGGCCCGAGGAGAAACAAGAGCCCGCTGTGAAAGGTTCCGGTGCCTGTTCTAGAGGCTGCAGAGCTGTCCAGGGGCAATTGGTGCTGAAAGTGGCATTGTACGTATGGGGCTGGTGGGTTCAGCAGGGGAGGGCAGAGGTGCTGGAACTAAGGGTGCTGCCGCTCACCCGAGCTTTGAATTGGTTTCTATTATATAAAGGGGGTAGAGTTTGGTTCAGTGGCTTTCAGCAGCCCCTGCTATACCATTCATTCCAGCAGCACTGGGGAGTGGGAGGAGGATTCCCGGGTTCTGCTTTCAGCTTCAGCAGGGACTTCTTTGGTGACCATGAGCAACTCACATCCCCTCCCTGTAGTTGTTTCCTTAACTGGAAAACAGGACAAGCAGTAGCCCCCCTACAGTGAACTAGCATCTAAAGTTCTGAGGGACCCTCAGATGAATAAGACTTGAGCAAGGGAAGAGCGGTGGTATCAGTGTGAGAACAGCAGCTTTCAACAGAAGCCTCTGCTCTGAAAGAGAAAATGCTTGAGCAGAAGCTGTTAGCAAAGTTCAGCAACTGCCTTGCTAGAGGGGAGTCAAAGTCTACCAAACCAGTATACATCAGCCAGAGCCAAGGTAGCTCACAATGGGGATACGGAACCTTTTAGCCCTACGGCAGTCATTAGAACAGACAAGGTGGGAGTGAATGAAAATAGCAACCTGCAGAATGTGAAGCAAGTTGAGTCGGGGGCACTCAGGGCAGCAGCCAAACATCCACATCACAAAGAAACCCCAGCCTCATTAGTGTGGACCAGGTCCCTGGCTGTCTAAGCAGAGAGGTAGAGACAACGGAGACTGAACCCTCAGTTCTAGAGGTGACCGGAATTCAGGACTGAGACACAGTGGTGGAGGTAGCGTCTATGGGAACAACCAGCACCACCACGTGTGCTGCTGTCCTGTTGAGAAGTTAGAAGACTTCGTTCTCACAGGGGAGTAAGTAGGTCCTCTCCCTTAAAAATAAAAATTCTAAACACAGAACCTTCCTCTCTCTGCATTGTAGGTGGATGGTCAAGAGTGAGAAGTAAGAAGCGTCTCCCCCCATACCCCCTCTAGAGGCGCTCGTTAGGGCATGACTCACCTTCCAGCTTACAGGTCTGGATTTCTGCTCCCAGGAAAAGTCCTACTATTGCATTTGCAAACAGAAAAGGTGGTTTGCTCTGCACCTCTAACTGCACAAACCGTTGCACAGGGGCTATGGTAAAATCCGGCTGACATTCACTCACAGCTTAGGAAATGTCCACCTGTACTAAATATTCTCCCAACCTTTGGCAAAACTGCTGTAAATACACAAGGCAAGGAGCAGTTCAACACCTGTAAGTGATGGTGGGTGACCCTAGGTACTCTCTCCCCACTACATCAGTTCTGCACCTGCCAGGTTACCGGAGGAGGCCTTTACATCCCCACAAACCCTTGGACTTATAGGTAACAGCAAATATTTTGATGCACAAGATGCTGTTTTCCAATGAATTTTGTTTGGAAAGAAGATCAGAATCCATGGGATGTAAAATAAATGCATTTTGCAGGACATTATAAGAGGGGACGGACAATGGCTGCCAGTATTGGATGGGTGTACACACAAAAGAGGGAGAGGAATTGGTTTGGCTAGATTAAGAACACATACCTAGGAACAAATAAAGGAAAACATCTAGGCTGAATACGAAGGAAAAACTTTCCCAATGAAGAGCTTTTCAACTGTGAAGAGCTGCAAGGGAGGTAATGGAAGCCCCATCATTAGCATGTGGACTGTATTAAGCCCTAAGAATACATACTGTCAGGAATGATCATGAATTGAGTGCAAGGTGGGGAGAAATTGACGCTATTCCTTCAACCACACATCTTCATCTCAAACAGCTGTGCTTCTGGCACAAACTGGGCACTGACCATCCTGCCTGGGGAAGAGCCAAGTAGCATTTCTATCAGCTGACACATGCACATGTAATAGTAGCAAAGCTGAAAAGCCAACAAGACAAACAACATTTCCCAGGCTGAGGGGTGGAGGTAGAGGAGAAACCAAACCTGCTTCTTTTCAAGCAAAGGTTTGGGAGGCGGGAGCAAGAAATCCTCTCAAGCTCATTGGAAATCTGCAAAGATGATGAAAGGCAACTGGCTTTGTGAAACAGACGGCTCTGAATACACAGAGGTGCTGTTGGGAAGGACAGACATTTGCAGCCCTAAGCAGAGGCGTCAGAGTGAGACAGGAAGGCACAGGCTGCACCAAGATACCAGCAGGTGCTCTGCTCTACGGGGAGGTCAGATGAATGATGACGCAGGGCCGGTCTGTCAGGGCTGCTCAGTGGAAAGGAGACAACAGAACTTTTCCCTTTGCCAACTCCCGAATGAGACAGACACAAGAAACCTTTGCTTTTCCCTATTTACATCTGGCCTTCTTTTGTGCCTGAGGGCTCAGTGGCTGGCTGAGATTACAGTAGGAAGGTGGGAACTGGGGGGAAAAGATGAGGATACTTACAGTTAACATCATAGCTACATGATGTTAGTTGATATTACTGTAGCACTTAGAAAGCACAACCCAGGATCAGGGCCAAGGGAGATTGTGGAGCATGTATTTCTCTAAGTTCTCTAAGCCTTGGTAAGGCTCAAACTTACCAAGCACTGGTGAATTGATTAAGACCAATATTCACTACTGAAGTTCACCTCTAGGAATAGAAATGAGAGGCATAGCAGCACCTTAACTGGAAGCTTCAAGTTTCACATTGAGAGTCCAATTTCTCCCTGGGACTACTCTACTTTAAGGGATGGACTTTCTCCAAGGGCTGAGTTTCATAGTTTGTAGTTTCATAGCTGGTGACAGAGCCACAGAAATCGTTTCTTGTTGGGAGCGAAGTTATAGTCAGGCCTGACAAAGCCTGTTTTGTAGATCTGCATCTTTCTTACACCTGCGCAAAGTAATCATGCTTGTGAGGAAAACAGAAGCTACAAGTAACTTCAAAGCCAGAAAAGACCAGTTTGTTTCCAGGGTGGGGGTCTGGTTATGGAGCTGGAGGCCACAACTCTGGCTGAGAACCTCACTGTATCCATTGAGGCATCGGCTATGAATGCTGCTGCCGGGGAAACTTTTGTTAGACACACACTGTTCACCCAGCTGCAGGAATGCAATGCTCCTTTGCCATTTAGAAAGACTTAAACTGGAAGGTTAAAAAAAAAAACCTTCAGTATCTGTGAACCACTGTTTAAAAAAAATA